GTCAAATTGGAAGTGGTAAAAGTGAAAGAAGAGCAACTAAAAGAAAGATTTTAAAGGCAGATATACAGAAATTAACAAGTGAGTTAATCTGAGGATGAGAATACAATCTGAAAAAAAATTGGAAAGCATGACATGTGGAATAACATTTAGAATTTGGTTCCATGTTACACTTTTATGGATGTGTGTCATAAATCGCTGCATTCTTTAACAGAATAAAATCACTGCTTTAAAGTCAACTTATTCTTTAATTTCATTCTGTTTCCTGGGTCTAGAATGGTCCATTTTTCTTTTCTCAAATAGTGCTCATTAAAGGGGTTATTCTGCAAATAAGAAGATGTTCATAATGCAGTGTGCATAAATAAATAATGCAATTAATATGTAGTGGGAGTTTTGGTAGAAAAGCAGTTGCTATGTTTATATTTTGATGATTCTCTTCTAACAGTGTTAATTCTAAGATTGAAATATATATTCTTAAAGTCTTTAAAGTGTGTACTATGTTAAAGAAAATGATACTATAAAATGCTTTGGCTCTTATATTTCTACTTGCTTTATAATATCATTTTAAGTCAAATTTTCTTTTTTGATGATTTTATCGTATAATGAGAAAGTAAATAATTTATGGCTTAATATATTAATCTCATCTTTTAGTCTAAACCAACTTTGGAATCAGGACATTTCTGTCCACATTCACATCAGCAATAAAGAAACTAGAATGCAGATTTAGTTGCCATCTATTATAGTTGCCTGGTACAGTAAATAATTTTAAAAATTAATTTTGACTTTGCTTGGCTATAGGGAAATGCATTCTGTGAGTAGTCTTTTCTTTTAGTTTGTGCTTTCTTTCTTTCTCTCTCTCTTTCTCTCTCTCATTCTCTTTCTCTCTTTCTCTCTCATCCTCCCTCCCTCCCTCCCTCCCTCCCTCCTCCCCCTCTCTCTCTCTTTCTTTCTTTCTTTTTTTCTTTCTTCTTTTAAGCTATATAGAGGAAAGAAAATCAACAGGTAAAGAAAAATAGGAGTTGTTATTTAACAAGATGCCTCAAATCTGAGATAGACCACAAAGCCGAATTGCTTATTCTTTCCTACTTCCTATTTATGCTATTTAAAGGATTTAAAAAACAAAACAAAACAAAACCTACCAAACAAACAACAACAACAACAAAACCTTTGTTTTCTGAATGCAAGATGCATTCCTCCAGGTAAGAGCCAGAAAAGAAAAAGACTGATTCCACACTTTGATTATTTAGTATTTTTTTTTTCTCAAGGGAGGTGAAAATACCAATAGATTTGTTCACACAAAAGGAAAAAAAAAGATTTTAAATATACATTTATTATAGGTCATTATAGAAAAATGTATTTAACTCTGGAGGAGACAAAAAACCTGATATGCACTAAACTGTTACATGATTAAGGAGGATGACTACACATGTTTGCAACTAGTTGTAGGTATACTATTTAAGACAATTTTAATTTTATTCATTTCGTATTGCAACATGATTCTGTTACTCCTACTGCCACTGACAAAACTCCAATCTGCATAAAGTTAAAATGAAATTGTTACTCCTTCGAATATGTGACAAAACCCAAAAACATCTGTATCCCTGCCCTAATTTATTGTAGTTGAGTTTTCTCTTCCTTAAATAGAGAAACATTTTAACACTATTTACTTCCTGGCTTTGGAGGCACTATGTTGGTCATGGTGCCTTTCTCGGTAACAGAATATTCTTTTGTCAGAGTTATAGAAGGTGAAGAGGTTCAGAATATGCCACCTCTAAATATGCTATTTTGGCATATTGATTATTTTGTGCTGCAGGCACTCAAGAAATAGCACATGCAGGAAGCTCTCTCTGGCCTGCCTTCCCTCTTCTACCTGAAAGAAGGCTATAAAATTTCTCATAAGAAATAAGCCCTCCCTGCTGTACTAGGAGGAGAACATTCTTTCTATCCCAAACTGGGTGTCAATACTAGAATGGATCTGTGTAAAACAAGCTCACTAAAAGAACTCATCTTTCAGTTGATACCCCCATGTATTTTCTAGTTATTGACCCACAATTTTTTTGACCCTATCCCAAGTCTCTTTTTCTTGTCACCCTCTATTTTTCTTGTGTAAAAAGGTTTATAAGCTTTTGGGCCTAACAACTTATTCCAGACTTCATTTTCCTTCTGAAGACTCCTGTGTACAAGTAACAAGAAATTTGTGTGATATTTCTGTTAAAGTCTGTCCTGTCTGTTTAATTTTTAGGTTACTCTCAAAACCTAAGAGGGCAAAAGGAAACCTTTCTCCTTTACAAAGCATCATAAATAACCATGACTTAGAAACTGCTTTCTTAATTTATAAAAATTAGTAAAATATTCTATACCAAATTCTTTAACAGTTCCTTAGTGTTTCAAAATAAAAGCAAAACTTTTCTATGAGAAAATCATCCTTTTTATAGCTTCAAGGTAATACTCCAAAATATGTAAAAAACATATAAATTGAATATTTGTAGTCAATAGGAGGTATCATAGTCTGATTATGTTCTTCTTACAAAATCAGAAGGACTCCTGAGGAAGCAACAGACATTTTTTAACACTTTCTGTGGAATCAAAATAATAATAATAATAATAATAATAATATTAAAAATATGAGAAATGGAATATAACTTCATGCAAACATCTTATGATTATGAGGTATCCCTCTAAAGATCATGATTAGATTATGATATATGTAACTTAATCACTGAATTAATCCATTTGATGGATTAATAATTGAGAAGGACTACTGTACCAGTAATAAATGTTGGCGGGTATGGTTGACTAGAGGAAAGGTCACTGGGGCCATGCCTTTTGGGTTTATATTTTGTCGCTGGGTACCTTGCTTTCTCTTTTTTCTTCTAAGATATCAGGAATTGAGCATCTTTCCTCATCTGGGGCCCAGAACAATGGAGTTGAGTGACCATGGTCTGAACTTCTGAAACTATGAGTCAAAATAAACTTTTCCTCCTCTAAGTTGTTCTTTTCAGGTATTTTGTCACAGTGATGAACACCTAATGCAACATCTCACCAAGAACACAGATTTACTCAAATTCAATTCTAACAACTCCAGCTCATGTAGGGATGCTGAAATTTACTAATTCCCAAGATAAATTATTACCATTAGAATTTAGTTTCTTAAAATGATCAAAATATGCTTTCTCATAAAATTTCAGCCGTCATTTCTAATTTTGTTTCTTAAGATGGATGATAAATCTCTGCAAAATTTCTTTAGATTATGTTAGTCACCTTTTAGTCACTATGACAAATATCTGAGATAATCCAGTTATATAGGAAAGAGTTTATTTTGGCCTATACTTTTGGAGATTTCAGTCCATGATCAGTTGGTCCCAGTATATTGGGCCTGTGTTAGCAAATCATGGTGGGAATGTGTGTTAGAGCAATACTGCTATGTCATGGCTTGGAAGTGAAAGAAAAATGAAGGGACTGTAGTCTCACAATTACCTAAAGCTCTTTCACTAGGCTCCACCTCTTCAAGTTTCCACCTTCTACCTATAATGCCACATTGAGAAGTATAAACCCTTATCACATGGAACTTTGGGGAAACTCTAGCAAAGTAAAAATGCCAAGTTTACCAAATGGCAATTTTTTAAATAATTTGAAGTTGTATACCTATATTTTTCCATTTAAAATCTCCCACTTCTTTTTCTATGTATGAGAGAATTTTAAGGCTAATCATCCTCCTGGTACCAATGTCTAAAAGTCCTTAGAAGTATTTATTCTCTTTCATTTTGTTTGACTCATGCTAATCCAAAACTGGGGTAACTTTTCATAAAGAATAACCATCTGGATAGTCAATATTGGATTAATACTAGTAATAACATTGTTGTTTTTTAATAACTATGAACGTCAAGAGAGTAGAAAGTTTGCTAATGGTGTTCTATCCTAGTTTTTACCATATTCTTATATCATTTTAGACTTTATATTTTTATGAGATATTATACTTTATAAAACATTTTCCCATGCATAATATCCCTTACTTATATTTATAGCATTTTGAGGTAAGCTATGTTAAAATATTTGCACATTAATTTATGTACAAATTAAATTCAGTTAGACTAATGCATGGGAACTAAAATATAGGAAAACATTGAAAAAGTCAAGAACAGAATTGTATCCCTTTCACCTTAACCTAACTTAATATTGTTATGATTAGTAAGTTAAAAGGTACATTAGGATCAGCTGGAACTTGGCTTATTATTATCTGTTAACATGTATATAGACGTGTGCACGTACATATACACATTTAAACATGCATTTTAGAGCAGTTAAGAACTTTAGTGATAACTTGGGAGAAATAGCAAGAATGTTAGCCTGAAGATCGAATACTGAGTTCTCCTAATAAGCAGCCAAGTTCAGAAAATTGTTGTGAATTTCAAGTCATGAAGCACCTATCTACCTTGACATTTAAAATTATGTGTTACCACTCTGAAACTTCTTTTTATACATTTCAAAGTGATTTGAGAATAAATCAAATTGCTATGGGAGGAAAAAAACTATTAAGCTGATGGCCTTTATGAAGATGTAATGACAGCAGACATGTTCAGATATGAAAGCATTTTATTTGATGTGAAAATAAATTTAACTTGATGTATTTTCAAAAGTTATCTTTTATTTTGAACAATACGATCTCCCTAGTGTTCAACTTCATCTCTTTATAATAAGTGTATTAAAAATATGACTAAGAAGTTTTAAGATAAGGTGTTTTGTATTGCTTTACTATTGTCTTAATAATTCATAATTAGTCTAATATGTTTACACTTGAAAGACAACATGCAACATTAAGCTAATGAATTAAAATAGGCTGTTTCTTTTGTGTGGTGTATGGTTTATAAATACGACTGGATGATTACATTATAGAACCAGTTTGTAATTAATACACATCAGAATTTAATCCAACACATGAGTTTCTTCATTCCATTCATTATCTTGTGTTTGTATGTATGTTTGTACCTGTGTATGTCTTACAGCTGTTATTTCAAGAAACCAAGAAGGCCCAGGAGAAATGGGAAAGGCTGTGCTGATTCCTAAAGATGACCAGGAGAAAATGAAAGAGCTGTTCAAAATCAATCAGTTTAACCTTATGGCCAGTGATTTGATTGCCCTTAATAGAAGTCTGCCAGATGTAAGATTGGAAGGGTAAGTTTAAATGTATTACATAGTCTTATGTATTAATAAACCAAGCATTTCAGAATCTCAGAACTTTAGCTAACTTAGATTACATTAATTCTGGAACTAGATGCACTTGACTACTTATCTATTACACATCAGGGACTTACTGTATATCCATATGCTGAGAAATATTGTTTTCTTCTCTGACAAAACAAAATATGTTACTTCCAAAGATACTGCAGAATGTATAGACCTAATAGGTTTCTCTTCATGAGATTTTTTGTTGTTGTTGTTGTTTTGTTTTGTTTTGCTTTACTTTGTCAAATACAGAACAAATATGTTCTTTAATAGATTATTTTCTGGCCTGCATAGAATGCACTCTATACTTTGTTTTGAAAAAAGTCTGTTTTGCTATGTCAGCATAAATATAGCCAATTGCCTGTATCATTATTGATCCTTTAAAATTATTTATTATAGGTTCTAGCAATTTATGCTGCCATTTATAATTGGAATTCTCAATTATTAGCAATGGAGGAAATGTTCACTTGAAAATATTTCTGCATGAAAAATGATGAAAAATTCAACTTTCATGTGATTAAGTATAATCTCTGCTGCAGTTAGTAGAATATATTTTAAATTTATTTAATAAAACTCAGAATATTTAATGTTAGCACATTGCCATTCTAGTACATACTTCTTATGAAACTCCTGGCAGTCACAGATGATATATCTGGGGATTATAGAAAATTTCCAAGCTTACAGATGTACTCTAAGATACACTTCCATGTAAACAGACATTGTTGTTTTAGACACATTGTTTGCTTAATACTAAAATCATAACTGTTGCAAATAATTTTTCATCTATAATGGGATGTATTACATTACTATATCATGATATTACTATCACATTTATTTAATTCAAGTTTTTTTCTTTCTGAATTATTTCACATAAAACCCAATCATTATTAAGATGCTAGTGCTGATTATCAGAAGATTCATTCCTAGCTAAGTGGTACTTTACATCACTGTATGCTTTTAAAATGTCTCTCTCAAGAAAACCACAAATAAGAAAATGTTACAGACATTTTTGGTCCCCAGCAAATGTTTAAACACTGAATATTAAAATTGTGTATTTAAAGGTCTAAATAATTTAGATATAGTTCTATGCATATGTTTGTATGTAGGTAGCCACATTTGTGTTTTTAAAGATACACTATAATAAGCATATTTTTCAAAATAATTTTGAGAATTGTAGATGCTATGTTTATTATGTTATAATGTTACATTTAGTACATTGTTTCAAATGTCTTGGTATAATGAAATGGATAAATAATATTCTTATATATTCAGGAAAAATTTAAAAATGGTTTCAGATTTTTAAAGAATTCTTTCAACTATCATAATATAAATAAATTAAATTATATGACATATCTCGATTATAAAGGTAAGAACTGATTGATACAGAACTACTTATTATTACTTTATTTAAAGCAAAGTCTCTGTTAAGCATATATTTAAAATATTTTTGGGTAATGGTATTACTTTAAGAATAACTGAGCATGCAATATCACAACAGACACTACAGAAATACAGAAGACAATTAGAAATTATTTTGAAAACCTATATTCCAATAAAATAGAAGATAGTGAAGACATCGATAAATTCCTTAAGTCATATGATTTGCCCAGACTGAGTCAGGAGGATACTCACAACTTAAACAGACCAATAACAATAGATGAAATAGAAGAAGCAATCAAAAAACTTCCAACCAAGAAAAGCCCAGGACCGGATGGGTATACAGCGGAGTTTTACAAAACCTTTAAGGAAGAATTAATATCAATACTTTTCAAGTTATTTCAGGAAATAGAAAAAGAAGGAGCTCTGCCAAATTCATTCTATGAGGCCAACATCACCCTGATTCCGAAACCAGACAAAGACACCTCAAAGAAAGAAAACTACAGACCAATATCTCTGATGAACCTAGATGCAAAAATCCTCGATAAAATTCTGGCGAATCGGATACAAAGGCACATCAAAAAAATTGTGCACCATGATCAAGTAGGATTCATCCCTGGGATGCAAGGATGGTTCAATATACGGAAATCAATAAATGTTATTCACCACATCAATAGACTTAAAAATAAGAACCATATGATCATCTCAATAGACGCAGAAAAAGCATTCGACAAAGTACAGCATCCCTTTATGTTCAAAACATTAGAAAAACTAGGGATAACAGGAACTTACCTCGACATTGTAAAAGCTATCTATGCTAAGCCTCAGGCTAGCATCATTCTCAATGGAGAAAAATTGAAGGCATTCCCCCTAAAATCTGGAACAAGACAGGGATGCCCTCTATCACCACTTCTATTCAATATAGTTCTCGAAACACTGGCCAGAGCAATTAGACAGACGAAAGAAATTAAAGGCATAAAAATAGGAAAGGAAGAACTTAAATTATCACTATTTGCAGATGACATGATTCTATACCTAGAAGACCCAAAAGGGTCTACAAAAAAACTACTAGAACTAATAAATGAATTCAGCAAAGTGGCAGGATATAAAATCAACACGCATAAATCAAAGGCATTTCTGTATATCAGCGACAAAACTTCTGAAACGGAAATGAGGAAAAACACTCCATTCACAATATCCTCAAAAAAAATAAAATACTTGGGAATCAACCTAACAAAAGAGGTGAAAGATTTATATAATGAAAACTACAAAACCCTAAAAAGAGAAGTAGAAGAAGATCTTAGAAGATGGAAAAATATACCCTGTTCATGGATAGGCAGAACTAACATCATCAAAATGGCGATATTACCAAAAGTTCTCTATAGGTTTAATGCAATGACAATCAAAATCCCAATGGCATTTCTTGTAGAAATGGATAAAGCAATCATGAAATTCATATGGAAAAATAAAAGACCCAGAATAGCAAAAGCAATTCTAAGCAGGAAGTGCGAATCAGGTGGTATAGCGATACCAGACTTAAAACTATATTACAGAGCAATAGTAACAAAAACAGCATGGTACTGGTACCAAAACAGGAGGGTGGACCAATGGTACAGAATAGAGGACACAGAGACTAATCCACAAAGCTACAACTATCTTATATTTGATAAAGGAGCTAAAAGCATGCAATGGAGGGAGGATAGCATCTTCAACAAATGGTGCTGGGAAAACTGGAAATCCATATGCAACAAAATGAAACTGAATCCCCTCCTCTCGCCATGCACAAAAGTTAACTCAAAGTGGATCAAGGAGCTAGATATCAAATCAGAGACTCTGCGTCTGATAGAAGAAAAAGTTGGCTCCGATCTACATATTGTAGGGTCGGGCTCCAAATTCCTTAATAGGACACCCATAGCACAAAAGTTGATAACAAAAATCAACAAATGGGACTTACTTAAACTGAAAAGTTTTCTCTCAGCAAGAGAAACAATAAAAGAGGTAAATAGGGAGCCTACATCATGGGAACAAATTTTTACTCCTCACACTTCAGATAGAGCCCTAATATCCAGAGTTTACAAAGAACTCAAAAAATTAAACAATAAGAAAACAAATAACCCAATCAACAAATGGGCCAAAGACCTGAACAGACACTTCTCAGAGGAGGACATACAATCAATCAACAAGTACATGAAAAAATGCTCACCATCTCTAGCAGTCAGAGAAATGCAAATCAAAACCACCCTAAGATACCATCTCACTCCAGTAAGATTGGCAGCCATTAGGAAGTCAAACAACAACAAGTGCTGGCGAGGATGTGGGGAAAAGGGTACTCTTGTACATTGCTGGTGGGACTGCAAACTGGTGCGGCCAATCTGGAAAGCAGTA